TAACAACTGCTAGCATTCACCATGATGTAGTTTTCTACTAACAACTGCTAGCATTCACCATGATGTAGTTTTCTACTAACAGCTGCTAGCATTCACCATGATGTAGTTTTCTACTAACAACTGCTAGCATTTACCATGATGTAGTTTTCTACTAACAACCGCTAGCATTTACCATGATGTAGTTTTCTACTAACAACTGCTAGCATTTACCATGATGTAGTTTTCTACTAACAACTGCTAGCATTTACCATGATGTAGTTTTCTACTAACAACTGCTAGCATTTACCATGATGTAGTTTTCTACTAACAACTGCTAGTATTTACCATGATGTAGTTTTCTACTAACAACTGCTAGCATTTACCATGATGTAGTTTTCTACTAACAACTGCTAGCATTTACCATGATGTAGTTTTTTACTAACAACTGCTAGCATTTACCATGATGTAGTTTTCTACTAACAACTGCTAGATTTACCATGAGATTCAATTAAATAAGAAATCGTGGATTGTGATCAACTGAATTAGTAGTAAATCTTATGATAAAAGATCTTTAAGATCTTCAAATTTACCCTTAAATAAATTTCATTCATTTATTGAAGACTAGTGGCTTCATTGAATTTCCATATTTTATTTCAGTTGCAACAAAGATGGAACGATTCGTCATTACTCGTACGGAATGAGTTCTGTGCAGCGTTTTAGCATGCAGGCATTCCGCTTCCTGTCAGAACGTCGCTTTGTCTACCTACACTGTGACCTGGTGGTGTGTCATAGGTATGACTACAACTCCACCTGTGCACGAAGTACTTCATGTTCCAGACGTTATCGTCGTGATGTTGATCAGCAGTCAGAAGATGTGTCTGGCATGTATGCACTGTCGTTTGGCCCAGTGATGAAAGGGAAGGAGTCCGCTGACAAGAGTGCTGGGGGTAAGTATCACAGGCTCATAATATTAAGCAGTCCAAAAACAAGGGTACATACGACTTCACAAAATATGACACCCGTTCCGCACGTTATCAACAATATAGTATTGTAATTGTTAAGCTTAACGCAAGGAGCGCCTGAATATGACTTGATCAAACATCGATCAAACCGCGGACCACATCAATCAAGTTGCGATTTAATTGCAGTTCAATCGCGTCTCAACTAATCCATGAAACCATTTCTCTGTTAAGCATCCTACCCGGCCGAAAACGTGCCTTAAATATACAAGCGCCTGGGAGGTTCAATAAAGAGTTTACCATCGCCAACTATTTCGGACATTGAGTCGGCAGTGCGCCAGCGGATACCCCCGTAAAAGTCAATATATTTTAGGCAGAGAATCTATAAAATACATAGGAATCAAACTAAAAACATCGAATTGACAAAAAGATATTTCGATTATTTCATTTGCTTAAATGGAGTAGTATTCCTACATTGCATACAAACGGCACTGTCGAAAAAAATAATAGTTAAACCTTTATCTTACGTTTCGTTTCGAGATTCAACTTCTGAACGCTTTGCTTCTATAGACTTGTATACTAACTCGGCCAAAATCCGCTCGATTACCGAGTTTCATTGTTCAATTTTTAAATTTCTGTGACTGCTATGCAATTTGCTCAAATGGAACACCAACCTTGAGGATCCTCGCTAGCTGCTCACAAAAATTGGGCACATAAAACACTGGAGAAGTTTTTCGTATTTACCATCAAATATCATGAATTTTCGTAGGCACTTAGAATATTATGCGCTGTTAGTATGTGATCGCATTGCCGCAAATTTCACTGCGATTAAAAGCTAAATTGAAGGCGAAAAATCACTCGGAATAGGTTGTATTTGGTACCAAAATGATCGCCACGATGTTTATTTTTCAACCCTGCAAACGCTTCTGGGATACATGAAACACAACCCGTGCTGCCAGCGGTAGAAGTTGGGCCGTTTGGCTACAGCCAGACTAAAAGGTCAACCAAAGGTCAACCGTATTAAATAACTTCAATCTAGACGAAATATTGTAATGTTTTCCGTGCTTAAAACCATTTATTTTGACAATAACGACTGTTCGAGCGTCGAAATTAGAAGTTCTATCCAGTGGGGGAAACACTTATGTGTTTCTAATAGAATTGGCTCATTTATTTCCATTTGGTCATTCCAAAACATTGCAAAACATTGCGCGTTATTGCGCGTTATGCATTTCAGGGAGCTTCCGCTGGATAGTAGGATTGATATAAGACCGCAATAGTTGGCGATGATTATTCTAGCTGCGGTCTTACTCGGTCCTGACCGCGGTTTAGCTGCAATCACACATGGAGTTTGATAGTTGCAGCTCAAGCGCGATATTGCAACTTTCAATCACTGGTTTACACTATCAAAGTTTCTGTGCTCAAAGTAGGAATTTTACATAGGTAAACTAAGTCTTTGAAGTGTTTGTAAGAAATGTTTGAGGAGCCTGACTGACTCTGTGTATACTGCCGAGTTTGTTCCCTGAAATATTTCTTACAAATCCTTCAAGTGACTTTATTTGTGCATGCAATTTACATTTATACAACATTCCTACTGTAATCCCAGAACCTTTGATAGTGTAAACCATTAGCACTGCGACAAGCTCAAGGTCAAATTAGCTTGCATGAGAATTTTCCCATCCCTCTCGCCCCCCCTCCTCCCCCCAGTAAAGTGGAAGCAGCGAAGCATAATGAGTGTTGACTGGCCATATTACCACGTGCGTAGATCTCATCAACTCTCATCAAAATTTGAACGAGTTCAAAGTTGATGAAAGTGCATGAGAGTGGATGAGAGTTGGCGATGAAACACGAACGAGAGCTGCAACTCTCGTAACTCATTCTCGGAGCTTGAAACCTGAGGAATAACTAGAAGCAAACTGCGACCAAATTGGAGCCCGACCGAAGCTGGAATAGCTGTTACAATGCAGAGATGTATTTTCACTGTGATGTGATTATATATTTATATTATGATATCCTAATTCTCTATCTTTATCGTTCTACAGCTCATTCGGAGGCATCGAACACAACGCTGATTGGTTCCTTGATTGGATTCGGTTGTCTCAGTGTGGTTCTGATTGGTGCCTTGCTCTTCATGATACAGCGAAGTCGTCGTCGTAGATCCGACCAGACCCAGACTGGTGGCGAGAACAAGGGCGCATTGTCAATGCAGAATTTGGGATACACTTAAAGTCTCCCTGCCTTTTTTATAGTTTTATAATCCGAATAAGTTTAATGCATAACTACATATTAACTGCTGATTCGAAAAATAATTTAAAACACTCTTTAGAAAGTTAGTAGAATCGGTTGCGAAAACGACTATTTGTTGATGACACTTTCAATATTGTTTGTGATTGTTAAAATTGATTCACAAAATTGTTCTAACTCAAAACAAAAATATGAATTAAACTGTCGGTGTAATTAGAGCGTAGAAAATATTGTTAAACAAGTATATATAATACTTTTGGTGAAATAAATTTCGTATGCGGGTAATACAAATTGCAAATGTCTAACGAGCGACAGATAAATAGATCTGTTGATGCAGGCCCGACCAGGACTTTGGGTATATTTTTGGTATGCTTTATTCTCAAAATAGGTTGAAAAATGTACGGGCATAAGCGTATGAGGCTGATGCTTCAGGCCATTTCATGACCAATTCCCATCCTTGTGTACTGGTATTTTGTAGCTTTCCCAATTACCCCCCCAATTACCCACCCCTCCTTGTCATACGCCTATAAATGCAGCGTATAAAGTGCATTTACTAAAGAGATTTTGGTGATTTCGTTCGATGGAACTAATACGGGATGGGGTTTTCTTGTTTTATTTTTGTAGATGGAAGTTTGCACGTAAATGGGAAAAGTTGGCGCGTTGTCGGTTGCAGCATTTGGGACTAAAATAGTTGGCGGTTGATGACATGTTCAAAAGTTAATGTTCCTTGATAGCTACAAATGCAATTGTTAAATTTCAATTCAAAAACTTTGTTGGGCCAGGTTAGAACGAAAAATGCAAAATTATACCTACGCTTTGCCCGCCTTTGGATAAAATGAATTTCATATGTGCGGAATAAAAATTCTATATGCCAACATGGTTGTATGTTTGTAATGACAAGAGTCAAGGATGAAACATCTGTCTTGTGTAAACCGTCGGCATGCACATGACGAACTAGCTACTAAGTTATATCCCACTGGCTTTATTTTAGGCTATATAGTTTTCCAGATTTTCCCACTTTGTGAAGAAAAAGCAACATCTAGTCGTACTTATTACAAATGTTACCCAATTTTCAGATTTGGATTTTGGAATCCAGAATTTCGCAATTCACCTTGTACGTAAAACCGAAAGTACAACGCATGCAGCTGCTGTTTTTTGCTTCCCACGCACATTTTTGTTTTGGCCAGGCCTTCTGATAGGCCACAGTCTAATCAGCCAATCAAAATTTCTTCGAAAGATATCATCTTTACCAAGAATTTTGAAACTCGAGAAGGGGTGGAAAGCAATATTGAAATAAAATAGGGTCGTTTTTGCAGTCCCCGCCAGAGGAATACAGACACTTGTCTGAGACCGTTGCAAATATTTGAGTCGCAACTTGCGAAAATTTAAAACATAATCCTGTTGCATGATGCGGCTGCGGACAATGCTAATTAGCGTCGTAGTTTGTGCGCTGATCTGGAGTGCGTCTCAAATACATGCCCAGTACTGGACAACACCCCAAACTGGTACGTTATTGCTTCAGTTTTGTTATTATAGCTTCTTTAGTTTTTTTAACATATATCCACCGCATGCAATCTAAGCTCTTCATTATTAAGGGTTACTTATTGTCCGCAGATACCAGTGTCTTATCTGATACGCACAATGTTTTGACACCAGTACTTATCAGTTATCGGAGGAAATTAGGAGAGACATTCCTCCCACCCGAAAAGTTTTTGCGTATAACCTTTTAAACCTCCCAAATGAAAACTCTTGTGAAAGGCTTGGAGCAAGTCTATATTTACTAGTACAGACGAAAGTACAAGAAAATACGAAAGGCAAAACAAAGAAACGCAGTAAATCGTGTATGGCGTCGTGTGAAGGCTGTAAAGCTTCGAAATAAGCATAATATATGCTTTGTGGTAATATTTTATTTCCAATGTAGTTCTGCCATGACATGCATACTGGGATGGTTAGAAATGCGTGCATCAGTATCACGTATATATGTGATAGTTATGATTAAGGCAGCAATAAATTTTTAATTCTTTTGTTGAAAAACACTGAGGTAGTTTCAAAAATATAACGATAGATAATTGCCAGTATTATACATTTAATATGTATTCTCGTTTCTAATTGGTCAGAAAGCACCGGCTAATTTTCAGTATTCGGCATTTATTACGTATTTTCCGCCGATGACGTCATCAGCGTCCAATAATTGTTTTTTTGGATCGAACTTGCATCCAAAAAAACAATTATTGGACTCTCTCGTGCCCAAACCCTTGCGCGGCCAAAAGCTTGAACGTATAAGCGCGCGAAAAAAACAAACAAACAATGGCCGACAGCAGATTTGCTTCGCTGAATGAAAGTGAACTCTCCAAATTATTGGCAGATAAGGATAGTGAAAGCACGAAAAAAGCCACAAAGGGGTAAATAGAAGTAGAAATAGAATATTTAGCTGACCTTTGACTTTGTGCAAGGTGTTTGATATTCAAATTGTACTTTTCCTACCTCATGAACAGGAATCGTTTTATACGTTTCTCATGTCTTTAAATGTATAATAAAACAATTATTGGATTCGGCTTTCGCATGATATCAAGAATTATTCAGACCTCGGTCTATGTTATCCGCCTCAGCTTCGCTTCGGCAGATAACATTGACCTCGGTCTGAATAATTCTTGATATCATGCTCAGCCTCATCCAATAATTGCTTAGTATTGTCCATTGCTTCCAACAACACGTGTGCTACTGTTGAAGTGTTTCAGTGGATAATCTGTGGTTTGTTAGATGTTCTGTATACTGATTCAATGCGACTTTATTTTTGACAAGGTTTGTTAGCGAGAACGCGTATCTCAAAGGTGGTTACTAAAGAAAAACCCTGATTTGAGAGAGGCATATTAGAAAGGGGAGATTTGTTTGAGAGGGGGCTTATTAGAGAGGATGGGTTATTTGAGGGGGAGCGCCAATAGAGGGTTTACTGTATATTAATTATGATAGACTAATAAATTATAGCTTCTCATTAAAATAACATTATACTTATAGATACTAAACATTGATTAATAGGTAGGAATAACCAGAATAAAAATAGTGACTGGAAAACTTATTGCTTTTAAGTTTATCAAAATCTGAGTAACCACCCATTTAATTTTATTTAGCAACACAAACTTACTGTCCATACTGGAAATTCAGATGTAACAATGGTTAACCAATGTGTGGGTCGATATCAACTTTGTGATGGTTGGTCAAACTGCTATGATGGCAGTGATGAGTGGTATTGGAACTGTCGTATGTGTCAACATAGTTATGTCATAGATGTAGTTCTTTGCTAATTGTTAATTTATTGTCTCCCACAGCTAGAGATTATGTTTTCACCATTGAATTGTTTAAGAGGAGATTTTTTGTATGTTGCGTAACACGCGCTCAAAACTAATGCGTATACTATAATACACCATTTGAGGTTATGACTAAATTCAAAATTTTTATTTTTCGATACGTTTCTCAATCGACAAACAAACTTAAAAAGAATGTTTGGTCCTTTATCTGTAAAATAATGCTAAAATGAAGAGATTTTAGATGGTACGCCAAAGAGAAAATTATGTCTGAAGTTGAGTAAGTTTTGCTTATATGGCTGTAAATATATGGCGTTAATTTTAAAGCATCATTGATAATTGTATTTTAATTGACAATTTTTAACTATTATTTTATGTTTCTCAACCGGCAAATGCGTTTAAAAAGGTTGCTAACTCTATAAACTAGAGAATAAAGCTAAAACAAAGTAATTTTGAGAGCGGAACGCCAAAAAGATTTTAGGTTTTGAACACACTTCATTGCAAATACGTGACGTTGAAAAAAATTGCCTCTTAATTAGAGAGTTTTATAATAAAGCTTGTGGCCGTAGGATAAGGAAAAATCGTTGGAATTTTTGGGGAAATTGTTGTTCATGACCCCAATGGCAACCATAATCCAAATGAAAGATTTAGGTTGTTGATTTTCTCTCTACAACAGAGTAATGTATTGAATTTTGTGAAACTTTTGTTTATGGTCTTGTCTTTGAAATATAAAGCTGCTAAGTTGTGCTCTCTGTAAGTGCGCTCTCATCAAGTCTTTAAACAATGACTTTTTCAGGACATTCTACCATGAATGAGACATTCTTCTACTGTAGATGTACAAAGTACATGAACTATTTTGATGCGTGTAATCTGGGTTTAATTGTATCCTTAAAAGTGTACTTATTGTAGACATGCACATGCATGGGTAATGAAATAGGAATTGTCTATTTAAACGAAATTCAGAAATTTCTTGGTTATCGTGAAAGATGAGTTCCAGTGGAGCTAACGTAGAGCAAAATTTTTGAGCATGGATGTATGATGCAGATGCCTAAAAAATAAGGGCAAAATTTAAGGTTTTCCACTGTCCATCTTGCATGCCCAGTTGCTATAAAATGCGGATGAAATGCTGCTGTGATAAGATTTTTGTCTAGGCTTGTCTATACATCAAAATTTTGTTTATTAGGCATATAGGTCCATTTGAAAGGTAAAATGCCAATGCCACAATATGGTCAAAAGACCTCAGTAAAAAAAATCCTTTTCCACTCAAAAACCAATTCGCCAGCTCGTTGCAAATACTTTCGTCCAATCGCAATGCTTGACAGTTTATTTTAATTAGATGCAACCACTTGCAAGAAGCTTGCTACTTGGTTTTGCGATAAATGGAAAGAGCTTAAGCTTGAAATAATAAACTGAACAAGTAATAAACGATTAAACGCAAGACAATTGCAAACATCAACGCCATTCTTTCAGCTATGACACTTATATACAACATGTATGTATTGGTAGACAAATTTCAAGCGTGTATCACACGAAGTTTGCGTATCTTCATAAAGCAATTTACAGGAAACAAGTTTTGGTTATTGAATGTTCGCAGGTTATTATTATGAAACTCAAATTTTATGTACCTTGTACTAGCGCATGCATGTATATTTGAGGGCGCTTATATGCAAAAGAATAGAGTATGTCACAATTTTTGTTTATTCATGCATAGCACGAACAACAACCTGGAGACCACGGACAACATCATGGCCCACCTGGAGACCACGGACAACATCATTGTACACTTGGAGACCACGGACAACATCATGGCCCACCCGGAGACCATGGACAACATCATGGTACACTTGGAGACCACGGACAACATCATGGCCCACCTGGAGACCACGGACAACATCATGGTACACTTGGAGACCACGGACAACATCATGGCACACCTGGAGACCACGGACAACATCATGGCACACCTGGAGACCACGGACAACATCATGGCACACCTGGAGACCACGGACAACAACATCATGGCACACTTGGAGACCACGGACAACAACATCATGGCACACTTGGAGACCACGGACAACAACATCATGGCACACTTGGAGACCACGGACAACAACATGGCACACCTGGAGACCAGGGACAACAACATGGCACACCTGGAGACCACGGACAACATCATGGCACACCTGGAGACCAGGAACAACATCATGGCACACCTGGAGACCACGGACAACATCATGGCACACCTGGAGCACATCAAGATCTTGTCACTACTGGGAGTTCCGCTGCAGAAATGGTCAATGTATTGATCGATCCTCGTTATGCGATAGTGGTTATGACTGTTATGATGGAAGTGACGAAGACTGGTATAATTCTACTACGTCATCAGTCACGTCACTACGGAGTCACATGAGAAGCGCGTGCGTGCTTCGCTGATCAGTGCTTGCAGCTTGTTGATCAGAACACTTGTGTGATTTCTCCTCTTTGACTTTGCTAAAATTCAGAAGAATTTTGACGAGTAGGTAAGACATAACGGAGACTTTCGTGGGACAAAAACCGTAAGTATAAAACTTATATATATATATGTGTGTTTTTAGTTCCAAAACAGATTTATTATGGCGACTGACAACACAGAACAGATTGTTTCACAGCCGAATGACCTCGAGCCCCACTGACACACAACAGTCCGAAACTCCACAATTGGCTCAAACATTAGTTGATTTAAATCAAACTATGAGCCACATGGCAATGATGCTGGGCGACTTATGGCAAAAATCTCAGGACACAAATGTAGTGTCACTTCAACAACCAGAAGTTGAAGAATCCCAGCACAGACGACGAGGCAAAAAGCGGCGCTCAAAAACGTCGTCCTCATCTTCAGAAGCTAGCTCGGGTTCTGGAAATGAGAGTCGGGGTCGTAAACGCCGAAAGCGAAGGTCCCATAGCAAAACTCGGCTTGAAAATAGGGGCGAAACGACCGATCATGAGCAGGATAAAGTGAGCGTACATGTGCAAGACGATGATGATAATGTATCGGTTTTACTTCAAGATGGCGCCACAAATGACAATACAAATTCAACCGATGAAACCCTTACCAATTTAGGGGAAATGCTTGAAGATGTTGAAGCCACCGGCGATGATATTACCCCTAAACTGGCTACTATAGCGGAAAACCGATGGAATAAAAAACTAGCGCCTGAAAAGCTGACATTAATTCAAGAAAAATACAAGCGACCCGCCAATTGCACAACAGTATGCTCACTAACAGTAAACCCAGAAATCTGGGCAAAACTGCCGCACTATCAACAACGGGCGGATTTAAACGTCTCGAAAATACAAGAATCGGTTCGGAAAGCTGCCCTTATATCTCTGCAAACAGCTCATTCTTTGACTAATACAAAGTCTAAAGAGCTAGATGTAAAAAAAAAGAAAAAAAAAAAAAAGCTCTTAACACAGCAGGTTGATTCGTTAGCTTTATTGGGCCACATAAGTTATGAGTTGGCCTGCCTTCGC